GCTCACATGGCCAGCAAGCCACTCCCACAAAGCAGGGCACACCTACAGAAGATGTTCTAAATTTTTTTGAAACCCACCACTGAAGGGCATGTAATTCAACGGGAATGGGGAAATGCTACTATTCTGGTTAAACAGATCAAGAATTCTTGTGCTCTCAGAACCAATAACTTTTCCAGTCTCAGACTTCATATTTTCAATATTTTCTATCATGGCTGCAGGCTGAGCAAGTAAACATTAGACTATAACCAACATTTCCCTTTTTTCTGCTTATTCAACAATTCCTCTCTTGTCTTGTTAAACTCCCTATTCCAAAAGTGGAAGATTCAAGAATCTTCTGTAAGGGGAAACATGCATATATATAGAAATGATATCTGTGCCCTGGAAAGATATACTTAGTTGGATGCAAACCATTGTCTTACTGCAATATCAAAATAATTCAATTCACTTTTGTGAAATATAGGTTATTTAATGCTTTTTTTTTTTTTTTTTAAAGTTAAATCTTGCTTTAGGCAAGATTTAGCATTCATAAAACTGAAATAATTAAATTAATTTAATTTTCTTCTTTTGATGAGTGCTAAAAAATATAGATTTGGCAACAGGATAAAATGTCTTTGGCTGGGGGGACAGAAGGTTTTGCTGCTCCATAATAAGAGAAGGCCTTTCTGGTTGTAGTGCTTTTAAGTGGATGCCCGATTTTATCTCCAATCATGTAGAAATAGCAAAGGAAGCATTAGCTGGTCATCAAAGAAAGCAGTAAGAAAATTCTTCTTCCTGCTTCAACCAATATGCACTAGAATGAAAGAACCTAGCATTTGCTTCCACTTGGCAATTCAATTGTTGTCAGTCCTAGTGGAAAGTAAAACGAAGTTGGAACAAACTATTTCCATAAAAACGCATATTCTTGATCTGCAAGGGAAATAGTGCTTTTCAAAGATAAGCAGAAAGCTGTTCTTGGTGAAATTAAAAGTTTCCACAATTTAGGATCTTCTTTTGATAACTTAAGAAAAGTTCCTTAAATGTCTGGTTCTACTTCCTATTGTTGTGACTACATAAAACAAGGATCAAAACAAAAAAGGAGCTCTTTTTATTTCCCTCCACTGATGCCTGATACACTGCCTTTTCCTTTGCTCCTCTGTAGGACTGTATTGTAATAGTCACTTGGTTTGCTCCCTATCTTTGCCATATTGTTCATTGGCTCCCGACATTCCCGAGAAAAAAACAACAACAATTAATGAAGTTCCTATAAAGGTTAGAGGGATGGAAACCCAGAGTTAAACCTGATAGCAGCCTCCTACCAGTGGAATAACTTGCCTCCCAAGGTCAGGATGGCCTCCACATTATTTACATTTAAAAATTATTTACTTTTATGCATACATACATATATCCTGCTAATACACACACACACGCACACACAAACAAGTTTGACACCCCTGATCTATGTACACACTTCAATTTCTCCTTGATATTTTGTCAAGGAATTTTTATTTCCAATTTTTAAAGAATTGTTTCTAATAAAAAAACCCAGAAAAATGGAAAATAGATTTTTTAAAATATATTTTCAAAGTAACATTTAATGTTTAAATGTCAATCTTCATGCATGTCACCATGAAAATAAATAGCATTTAATTCAGCAGAACTCAGTTTAGAATAGACATGCATAAAACTGTACTGCTAGTAATCCATTTCATGAAACAATAGTCCTTTTCCAAAATCTTAAATCCCCCAACTCCTCTTTCTGAAACATCTGAAAAATATTTGCTCTTCAACAAACCACATTTAAAAACAAATTATGACTTGGAGCAGATGTGAGCAACTTGTATGAGTTTACGTTCTAAAAAATAGTAATAGGACCAACAAAAATTACCTCTGATTTCATTTCATTTACACTGAAATATAATTAAATTATGTTATTCTTAGTTACTTAGGTAATATTTTTCCTTTGTTTTCTATTTAAATGCAATGATAATTTAAATATTCCAAGGAGTTATATTTAAAACTTGCAATCAGCCTATGGCCCTTGCCTCTTAGGCGGCGGGTGTCTTTGGCTTTGAAGGATTGATAATTCTACTTACACTTCAACTGACTTACATACACAAATGGGGTTTTTGCAAAAATTCTGTTATTGCCCACTGTTATTGCTGTAAAATTCTGTCCATTTGGGATTTGAGAAAAACTACTTATCTGGGCATTAAGATAATGACAACTTGATGGCACATAGTCAATTATCAATGAATCAGCCCAACACCTTAACCACCATATCACATCATTCTTTTCTATCTGGGATTTCTAAATCTCAGAAATGTCAGGGTTCCTGAGAACTATTATGCTGGATCCTTGATTTAACCTGGCTCACAAAATTGTCATTATGAACAAAAACTTGACCAGACTTTGAAGTATCCCATATGGCAAAAGTCATTGAAGAGAAGGTGGCAGCATTTCTAGCTTAGCTTCAAGGGGAAACTATGTGATAGAATCTGTGGGAAAGTATTAGTTACCCTCTGTATTTCATTCATTACTCCTTACCACACAGACTAGTCTTTCCTAGACTAGGTCCTTTAGATTTGTTGGAGCTACACCTCCTAACATTTCCAGGCATATTTTCCCAATTGTTATCCTTTGGCTCATTTTTGTTTGTGGATTTGTGCTTGATTTACTGTATATTTGACTCCACTTAGTAGATTCTTTTATCAGCCAATAAATTAATGTTGTATATGGGCTTTAGCAGTATTACTACAGACATTTTCATTGGATCCTTTGTAAAAGTACACAGTCTGTTTGTACTGAGTGAGGAAAATTCCAAGAAACAGAAATCAGGGAATTTCCAGAGTTTTATTATATAATTTCCCGTTACTTGGTGGCAATGAAATCCACTTGCTTTGTAGTGATTGGCATTTGTCTCTACCTTAAAAATACTTTTTACCATATCAAATAGAAAGGAAGCTGGACTAACCATGTGTATATGACCACATTGAGAATTTTATTTCTGCACAGCTAGCCCATTGTTGAAACAAATGAGATGAATATTTTCCATCCTACCAATTTAATTAACAAAGGTTTTCTGGTTATAATGTTTTTTATGCCAGAAATTTTGTGGAATTATTATAGCTTTGTTCAGACAAGTTTGCATAATGAATATGCAGAGACATGTGTCATGGGTATGGGTATCCGATTATGACAACTGGTACTACTTTGACTACTGCAACTTCACCATGGTTTTTGATCATCAACTGTACTTGGGCAATTATGGCATGATCTCTTTAGTTTCCCAGGATTATAGCCTTGCTCATCACTGTAACTCCTTAGCAGATACCTAGGATTTTTTGGTGTGTGTGAATTTTCAATGTATATACTGCATGTAAAATTTTTACTTTTAATAAGAAACACTGGGAAGCAACACTCTAGTGTAAGAGCTTTCTTTGCTTATATCTGTTGAAGAAGAGAGAAGGCAACATTGCCAGATTTTTAATAGCAGGTCATCCTTGCTTATCACATTGTTTTGTCTTCTGTTTAGTCTTTCAATATAATGAGAGAGAGAGAGAGAGAAAGAGCTCTACTTAGCTTATTATTCTTCATGAAGAGGTTCTGTTTTGCTAATAGTGAACCAAAGTGCCTGTGCCTGGGGGCTAATTGATTTTTAACCACAAAACATCATCTGGTGCTGAATGTGAAGGTGTGACTAGTTATGGACATTCCTTAGAATGCTCATGTAGCACCTCTGCTGCAGTAGCTTCCAATAGGCATCTTTATACGATTAAAAGTGGTGATTATAAGCCATAAAGTCTTACACAGCGAGAACGCATAACTATACTTGCAGGACACCCGTCTCTGCCTTTCTCTGCCTTTCCGACATACTCCAAAAGAGTGAGCATATTCCAGGTCCCTTCTCTTTAACAGTGTCATCTGATGGGACTTACAATATGTACCTGCCCTGTGGAATAATAAAATAGTAAAATCCCAAGATTTTACTTGCCCTTACACTGAGATTTTAGGAAGGCTTTGAAGACAAGGTCGTTCCCATGGTTTTGAAACCTGGATCTTGATATTTTCATTTGGTGACCTATGATATTTGTGGGTGGGGATGGAAGGTTCAAGATCATGCATTTTATTATATTGCAATTTTTGCTGTTTTTGTGGTGTTTATCATACTCTGGTTCTTTATATTCTACCCTAGTTGAATTTTGTGAGTTTTCATAATTTATTAAATAAATATCATAGGACTAAATCTTACATGCAATAGCTTTGAAATCAACTGTGAAAGGCTCTCTTGAAGAGGTAGTTCTTTTCAACTTCCCAGAAAGTTATAAGAGCAGGGGCCATCCTCATGTCAGAGGATGAGCTGTTCTATATTTAAAATGTGGTTAAAAATGCTTATTGCTGCTCCTTTCAGAGTGAGAAACATGTATCTTGACTGTAAGGCTTTTCAATAGTAATTTGCTTCCCCCAATATATTGGAGGAAGAGGAGGAGGTTGACATTTTTGGGCAGTTTCGAAGGACTCCATACAACAGGAGCATTATAAATTGGTTTGGAATTTGCTAGCCACTGCCAAATTTTAATTGCTACAAAATGGCATGACTCGAGCTGTCCAACAATCAGAGAATGGCTTTTCAGAGATTTGGAATGTAGCCTTCTTAAGTGGCTGTACATATCAATCTACCTGATGGCAAACAGAAGTGCAAAATATTTGGAAATAAATATTTCTTGTTTATATGAACTTGGACATTCAATTTTAAGAGGCTTCGTCTCTGCTGTTATAAATGATTTCATTCCTTCTTTCGTATATATTTTTTTTTAAAGAAAACCTTAGATTTTATGTTGTAAATGAACTGCATGTGGCTTGCCAACATTTATTTTTTAAAAAACCTAATAATGTCACTGCTACCGAGCATCACTGCTGCCATTAAGGATCTGCCTCTAAGATCAAAAGGAAGGCACAGTAATCTCTGTTAATAGTCCCCTACAAAATGCTATTTCAACCGGCCTTAAAAAACTCTTGTATTGTGTCTATATGGATATTAAATAGGTTTTTAACAGTTTGACATTCTCTGATTTGTAAAACTCTTTGCTATATTTTATATCTAAAGTATGTAAGTGGAGAATATTATGCTATTCATTTTATAGTCAGCCTGAATGATTTGTATCCTTTATGTACATCTACATTTTGAGTACCTAGCTGTGTACAGATAAAATGGTTTTGAAGGTATTAAAGGTCTATACAGTAATTAATGGAATAGTAGAATAAATAATTTTTGTACATTTTTATATAGACCAGGGGTCCATCTTTTTTAGGCCATTGCCTTATTTGGAATTTTGAGAAGATTGAATTGAAATAAATTATTTAGGCGATCAATGCTGACCCTCTGCTCCAGTTTATACTAATCCACTCCCCATACTATCTTTATAGCATTTTCTGGAATACCTAGAGCCTTCCAAACTGAATTTGGTCCAGCATTTTTAATCAGTTTAAAAGCTGCTCTGTCACCTTTGTGATATTTTGAGCCAGCAGCCTGATTTCATTTGATTAAAGTGGAACCCATTTTTCTGATATTGGTTTCTCTTTTCCAAAAGCAGTATCTGTTACCCCTTTTTGGGACATGACCATTTCATCCTTGAATTGAAATTGATAAATTATGCCTGTCTACCTGGCTTCATGGATAGAATAGGTACTATATCTAAGAATAGCAATAGCCTGTTGATTTACATACCGCTTCATATTGCTTTATAATCCTCCCTAAGCAGTTTACAGAAGCAGCATATTGCCCCCAACAATCTGGGTCCTCCTTTTACCGACCTCGGAAGGATAGAAGGTTGAGTCAACCTTGGGCACTGAAAGAATACTACTATATGTCTCCAGAGTGTGTAGTCTGATCTAATGATCTGATTTCACCTACAGTATATTCTCCCTTCTCTAGTATCTCTTCCTTATAGATAGAACAAGAGCTACTTTATCTTCCTAAGAATGTAACTGCTTTATGTGGAAGATGTCATTATTCAGAAACTCATAGTATTATTTTAAATTCATTTATGCTACCACCCCTAACCCTAATGGTTGTCTGGAGTCTATCATGCAAGTATATACGTATATATTTGAATCATATGCCACTAAAGTTACAAGGGACTCTGATTATTTTCAACAGTTAAAATAGTCATCATAAAAAGTCCACAGTAAGAAGATTCCTATTTTTATTTTTTTTATTTATTAGATTTTATGGCTACCAGTTTAGACACTTAGTTAAGGCACCAAACTATTAAATTAGGGGCCAATTTAATTTTCCCACAGAGGCTGTTCCAAAAATACTGGGCAATTAAAGGCAGACAACATTACTTGGTTTCATCATTCCTTGCTTCATAGAAAAAGGAGATCATCAAAAGTTTCTGAAATATGTACACTGGTTCAGTGGGTGAAGATGGCATCTGCACATATCTTTGTTCTAAGCAATATAGGGTTGTAAAGATCTTTATGGCTTGTCAACCTATTGGTAATCAGTGCAGGACTAACAGAACGTATGTGCAGCTGGTATCTCATACATGCTAGTACATTGGTATCTCATTTTGTATGAATTTCAAATAGTTTCCAAAAGCACGTAGAACACTGAGCTATGTGCATGAGCAGATGCTGTAAGATTTCTTTTTTACACAGCCTGGGTTATTTAAATTATTTGAATTGTTCACTTCATTTGTATCCAAAGGGCTAATATGTCACCCACACTTTGTACAATCCCCCCTCCCATTTTCCCACAGTAGAAAACATGGCAGGCCTGAAGTCCCAAAGTTAAAAGATGGCTTCCAGGTCTGACACAATGTATCAATTTGCTAAGAAATAAAAAAAAACCAGTTATAGAAGCCAAGAAAAACATGGAACATGGGAGGACCTAGCATCATAAAATTGTGGCATTAGAAAGGATCAGAGGAGCATCTAGTTCAATCTTCTGTGATATGCAGGAAAACCAATTATAAACCAACAGTAAAACCTGGTTGTTCAGCAGCCTGCTTAAAAACTGAAGAAATTGAGGACCCATAACCTCTGGAGGTAGACTGTTTCACTGATGCACAGATCTGACAGACAGGACATTTCCTCTTATATTTACATTACAGTAAATCAAGAGCAGTCTAAGGAAACCAGGAGGAAAATGGAACATATGCCCAAACTCTGCTTTAGTTAGTGAAGCTTCTTATCTGATAGCAAATGTTTTCATTCATGCTGAATATTAAATTGCACATGGTAAATTCAGAGGTTAAAAAAAATCCAGAACATTAAAAATCAATGCTAAGGGTATCAGAAAATTATAACTCTATGTTCCCATCTAGTGATCATCTGGTTTTGAAGGCCAGATCTGTTTGCTCTAATCAGTGTAACTTAAGAATAAGTATTTAAAAAACAGAAATAAAACAGAAATGGGGAAAGGCTTGTACACTTGTGGCTTATACTGGAAGTCTGTCAATTCGAGAATTCCCTCATCTGGTATTGGCAGTTTTCTTCCATGGAGGCTTAAACATTGTACGGTATGTTTTTCCTAGCCGAGAAGGTTTTCCTGACAATCCCTTCAGGGTTTTCTGACCTCCTGTGTTACTTGACATTGGATAGAACAAAACATTGCCAGCCTTTTAATACACTCCCTGTTCATTTCTTTCTTCCTCTCTTCCTCTCTCTCTCCCCCTGCTCTCAGCATCTAATACCCTTCATAAATAAATAGTCCCTAATTGAATGGGATGCCTTCTTGACAACATTCTCAAAGTGTTTTTGGTGAAGCTTTCGAACCCTGTAGTCCTTTTATTGAAACACAGCTGGATCTTTCTGGGATGGACTCCAAAATAGTCCTTCAGCACAGAGGAAATTCAGTTGCTAATGAGCTGTTTGTTTATTATTTTATTTTATTAGATTTAGATGCTGTTTGGTTCCGGGATGACTCTGGGTGGCTCACAATCTAAAACAAGCAGCAATTAAAAAATACATAATTATTCAAGTACAGCATCGAGCCAAATAATACACTATATAAATATAAACATATCTAGCAAGGGGATTACATTCACCCTAATCCTAAGACCTACAAAAATGGCCAGGTTTTTAAGGCTAGTAATAATGTTATCAGGGTGGGAGCCCCATGAACATCTGAGGGGTGGAATTTCATTTCATAGAGCAGGTACCTCAACAGAGAAAGCAAACCACTTAGGTTCTGATAGATGACATAATTTAATTGAGGGGACCATGCCCGCTCTAATGGGACAGGCAAACACATGAGAGATAGATTGTCCCACAAATAACCTTGATCTATGCCACACAACATCTTTCCATCTTTACTTGGCTCTTCCGCTTT